ATGAAGTGGTTGGTAATAATTGTCTGCAAATTTTGAATTTGATGAATTTTTATTATACACTTATAATATATGATTAATATTAACAAAAAGATAACATTAAACATATATAAATTAATATATAGGTATCCTGTGTAAGAGCTGCGAATGATGCTAGAGAATTACAACGGCGAAGAGAAGAGCAGGAAATCAGAAAAATGTTGCTAAGAAAGCTTGAAGAAGATGATCAAGAATGCATGAAGAGGTACAAAGTAATCAATGAAAAATGGGCGAGTATTCTTGCGTCCAAAGATCCATTAGACATACATGCGGAAATGGAAGCTCAAAATGCTAAGTGTTTGGAAATTATGGCGAGGAAGGACGCCGTCATTGCGGAATTGCGGCAAGAATTGGAAAACGCTGATCTCAAATTTGTTGATGATCAGCAAAGCCAGAATGAGGATATAGATTCTTTAATTGATAGAATGGACAATCAAGTTAGCTATATATATTACACAAAATATATTTGGACAATAATAATTAGATAAGTACATCCTTGATTAAAAGTTTATATACATATTTTGTTCAGATGAACGTGATGGCCAAAGCTTACCGTTGCGAATTATCGCTTATCAATGATGCAATCGAATCGGAGCGTAAAATATTACTGCAAAACATTGCGGAGAAATGGGAAGCGTTACATAAAAAATTACAGGAGGATAGTCTAGCAGGATTAGATACGCGAAAAGAAATAATGAGCGAATATGAGGAAGAGATGAAGAAAGTTATAATCGAGCATCAAGAAGAGTTTCGAGCTCAAAAAATCAAATTTGAACTTGAGATTCAAAAGCTTCAACAAGAGGTACAGAGCACAAAAGCGATATGCTTTATGAATATCGAGAAACTGGATTACAGTTACGCCGTGCTTAAACGGCGAGAAGATGAAAATGCTATAGTAAAAAATCAACAAAAGAGAAGAATTAATAAGTTAGTATTAAAGATTAAATGTAAATCTAATTATTTTATACATTCGAATATGATAAGCTTTGCAATGTTGCTTAGAATAATGAATTAATAAAATTAACCATGAACTGTGATGCTTTTTCCAGACTTCAAGATGTTATCAATGCTCTGAAGAAAAATTATGCGGAGTTAGAGGAAAATACGAGACTTGAAATACAACGGCTTACCGATCAGGTCATAAAAGCGCATAAAAATATTTCGGATTTAATGGAGAAATCTAATCATTTTACGAGCATTAACGATAAAAAGTACATGCAAATTTGGGACATGAATGCGAAAAACGCAAATGAGTTGCTCGATAAGGTATGCTGTATACATTATTCAACACTATTGATGTTAAAAAGATAATATTTCAGATTTTATCTGCTGATAAAGCTATATACGAACAAGCATTGGGTATGGAGTGGAGTCCACCTGAAGAAATCTTATTGAAAAAAGACGACCTACCGTCTTATTGCAGTGTGATGTGCACTATAGATGAAGGTAACAATTGAATTCATTTTAATCGATCGCACCTTACATTTTCTTGTCACGTACATGCTTGCGTTCTTTAAGAAAACAGGATGGCTGACGAGAAAAGAACGATATGTAAATTTTATAAACCGGCGAACACCATCGAAGAAATCAATTTAGAAAGGCGATTATTGAATCATATTATAAAGCACATTGCCGATAGTTGCGATTATTTGATCGAAAATAGATTGCTCGAGTTGCTTTTACCTTACACTGCGAATGACCAGCTAGTCATACGATTGGATAACGTCTTTCAGGTGAATATACGTGTTTTACAGAGGATATTTTATTTCATTATAATGCTTTCATATGTTAATTAGGCCCTAAATATTACATCCGAAGAGGAGCTTAGTTTTCTCTTGAATTTTTTTCTGCCCTACGCATATTGTTCTACATGTAGCAAGGACACGAGCAGAGATATAAACAGATCTATTTGTGAGGAATCTGTTAAACCTCCTTCTCCAAAAATAGAGTAACTATAGCAAATAGTTATAATTAAATATTATATAGTATATAATATATTAATTTTATGAGCAATATTATTTGAAATATTAGCGCTGAGCAGTTCGATATTTGTGGATTTTCTGAAGAATTTACAGAAGATGAAGCTAAATTGATTGCCGCTGTAAAAGATGCAATCTGTGACGAAAGATCATCTACTCCTAGCGACGAAGCGAGCATTACGAGTAGTCCACCTCGAACTTCCTTAACCGAAACACTACTTCCTATTGCGGAATGCACTTCAACTTCTTTTGCATCTATTACTGATATCACTAAGGGTATGTGTCTAAAGTTCGACGAAAATTGAACAAGAAAATTCATATTAATAAGATAATAAAATTAATATTAATTTTGCTCCTTTTATGCAGATGACGATCAAATGCAACGACGGTTGTTGTGCGACAAAGGACACTTGCTTGAAATTGAAGCCATATTTGTCACTAGAGCTTTACGGGAATTCATAGAAAGATATCATTTTGTTAGATCGAAAGAAATGCCGCATTTGCAAGAAAAATTAACAGAAAAAAAGACGGTTGTTTCCCGAAATATGGCTATTGAGGATGTAACAAGTTTCTGGAAGCGATATAGTGAAATCTTCTCAGCAAAGAAGGAACGACTTTGGGATGGTTTATTAATTGGACTTAAAAAATATCACGAAATATTAAAAGAACGACATCATTTAAATGTCGAAACGGAATCTTTACGAAAGCAGAATGCGGAATTACGACGTTTATTGAAAACATATATAATCCAGGTAATGTTAAAAAATAATACATGTATACTGAACATCACGACACATTGAAAAATGCTGGAAATATTAACCATAACACTCTTTACAGCCTGAATGTGACGGATTATCGCAAGATAATGCACAATCTGTTTGTGAATCGATTCAAAATAGATTTTGTGAATAAATTGATCTTAATGCATGTGCTGCACATGATTCTTAATATAATTAATACAATGTAAATATATATATAAGGTATATCAATATACTATGTCTATATTTATGATTCTTATTTAAATTGCAATAGTCTAACCGATGGACTGTATAACTTTCATATTTCTCTAATTTAGTTTCCCTAATTTAGTTAATCATATAAGCAATCAATGTTAGCTGTTTTTGTTGTCATCTAAAGCGGTTTTTTTAAAGAGTTTATCTTTGTTTTTAAATTCCTCAATTTCGAAAATAATTTGCAGAAATTTAAATTACAATAAATATTTTTAAGTGTATAATATATACACATATATATGTATGTGCGTATATGTATATATATAACTTGATTTTAACACAATAGCATTGAAAATAATCTAACCATTAATAAAATCATTCAATAAATAAATAAAACCATTTCGAATTTACAATTAAAAATAAAATACGGTATCTTATGGCTGATAGGTCATCATAACACCACCCGACACAAAGTTGTTCGACAAAGACGGTATTTGGTCCTTGGAAGCTGCAATTGGTTTTCTTTTTTTCCAGTATGGATTAAATCTTTTCATATTCGGATTCTTAGATCTCTTCACTTTGTCAGCATGTTTTTCCGAATTCATATGCTGCAAATATATAAACGGGCAATATATTAAATTTAAAATATATGATACATTGTGGTACATGCTCTTTTTTTGTAATGCTAACTATATAAGGTGGTTTCCAAGAAATTTTCAAGGAAAATGTCACAGTATGAAAAAAAATTGTGAAATATTTTATCGTAATAAAATTAGAGGTGCATATAAACAAGTTATTGTATGTACCACACTGTATTGAGACGGAGAATTGAAGAACTTGTTACATATATCACAGGAAAATAAAACCCTTTTCACTCTCAGGCTGTCATCAGGCTGCTGTGAGCTACCGGTTGATGATGCCAGTGAAGTGCCTTGGGTGACAATCTCTTTGCCATCCCATTCACCTAAGCATCAATGTGCGATCAACACTATCTATATATCACAACCGCACAAGCGGTACTTTGTGATAATAAATCAGCTTGAACACTACATTCATGCTATAAAAAGATCTGTCATTAATGAGTGTATAATATTCAATCAAATCACTAAGATATATATATCTGCATAATAGCATATAAAAAATGTATTTTTATATAAACATAATTCATTAATTTACAAACTTTTTATAGCAATATAGGGGATTATCATTGGATATTAATACCTAAACATTATGAAATGTTTTTACATAATGAAATCATTTCTTATTATTCTGATTATTTTGAAAAAATAAATTAGAAATTAGAAAAATATATATAACGCCAATGTATTAAAGTTTAATAATTCCCATCATTTGTTGTTCTAGTTTTATTTTTCATCGTGAAACATTTTATATATTATATAAGTCTAAGAGCATAATTATTAAAAAATAACAGAATAGAATTTCTATAATACAATAATATTGAAAAAAAAAATAATATAAATATATATATACATATATGTAATATTTGTACATCAAAAGGGAATTGCGGTATAGTCGAGTAGACTTATTTAAATGTAACATGAATGCAAATAAGTCGTGACCAAATTGCCTTTCACGATAACATATTAATAAGTAAATATGTAAAGAACGTACAAATATCACTTATATCAATAATTATTAAATATTAAACAATAATAATAATAATAATAATGATAATAATAATAATAAATAATAACGCACAATAACAACAAATTTTTATCTATCACTAAGCACCTACTAGCACTGAAATGATACAACAATAAAAGTTATGCAAATAATAAGCAAGTTAACTTCACATAATTAGTTTATAGTTTATAGGAAGAAGTGAAAAGCGAAAGTAAGCAGAAGTGTCAAGCATGCGAAAGCGAACAATGCTAAACTATAAACCAGTGCAACTGTATTTTTCTCTATTTTCTCCAGATATGTGAAGCGATTATTTTTAAGACCATATGGTACTGTTTTTCTTACCATATAGGATTTATTACCTTTCATTAATTTCTTTTTATGACGACTTCCTGCAAATATATGTTCCATGTCATTTTACTGTATATTAATTTATAAATATTATACTATAAATTTGTATGTGTGATATATCACAAACAATATTTATTACCATTGAGATGTGTTTGTAACTGTTGAATAGAGTTCAGGCACACATTGCATACATTACATTTGAGCCCATTTGTTTCTTCATCTTTAGTGAATGAAATCTTTGTTTCTTCAAGTGTTGCCATTATATTTTTTGATCTCACCTATGAATAATATTATAAATAATATACACTGCATATATATTATTTATATATTTGTTCTTATTACTAACCTGTTTGGCATGACGTGCACCTTGTAAGTGTGTATCTAATACTGTTTGGCTTGTAAAGGAAAGGTCACAGTCTTCACAGCGAACGAGAGGTTTCTTAGTGGGCAAATTACCCATTATATTATCAACTACTGCCATTGTTACAGGATCATTCCTGTTTATAACGTTTTCTGATGGCAAAGCCATTTTCTTATCTAAAATACATTGATGTATGATAGATAAATGAGCTGCTCAAGTAAATCAACGTAGAATTCTTTAAATACACACAAACATCGATTTACACAATATAGCATAATAATTATGTTATATTGTATATAAATTTGTACTGTGATAATCATACAACATTAAATAATATAATTGTTGCATGAATATTAAATATAATTATGATACTTACCGTTGTAATTCTGTTCGGTGAAACGGCGTATTGATGCGTGATGTGTACACAAATTTTTTTTGATTCGCTGCGTGAATGCCGTGTGAATATGTTACTTCTTCGAATACGTTCCTACGTGCTCACGTCTCGAATACACACTGATACACACAGAATGATCTCAACGTGCGACCGGTGCGACCTATAGATATGAAGTAGATGTGATGCGACCAATGAGAAGACACGACGGCGTATACGGTCTAAGGGTAAATCCAGACAAATTTGCATAAACGCACAGGCATAAGGAAATGGATGGTCTATGAAAAAAACACACAAGGAAATGTACCAATCCAATTCCTTTTGCGTATGCTCATGCATTATGCAAGTTTGTCTGGATATACCCTAAGAGGAGCGACCAATTAGATGGCCAGCTTGCGCGTATCGTCAGCGATGGTGCGCGCGTGTACGTGTGCGCGCATATAAGTGCCAGTCGCGAAATATAGTAGCAGCCATCTTATATTTTGTGTCGGAGAAAAACAATTTGGCCGTACAAATGTTTCGCGATTGCCCGTGAAGCCGCTCGACGACGGGAGGCGGTGCGCTCGATGAGGCGCGACGTTTTTCGACCTTAAACCCGGACCACTACATTAGCAAAGGTTCGTATCGGCCGACGAGCATTTTAATCCTTTCCTTCGAGGACGCACAACAGACACGATACCCCCACTCGCTGCTATCGCTTGCGAGAAATCCGGTTTTGCCGTCAAAATATTCCGCCGTTCCTCTGTCGGCGCCTTTTTAAAAATAGAGCGGCTCGCGTTGCTCGCCACTGGGCTAACAGCCTTTTCATGACGGCATCGCGCCGTGTACGACGACTCGGCGTAAAAGTTATGCAATCAGCTGATCGTCTGGCTACCTTCTGTCACTTGTCAAAGATAAATGTCAAAGTGTCTCGGTATAACCTGACACGGATATACGCGCGCGTCGTGTATGCGCGCCACATCCATTCGCGATAACGTCGCGCATAGCGTCGCTTTGTTCATGGCGTGTCAGGATCAACGCTTCAGGTTTTGGTTCTTGTACAGGTGGATTGGTACGCAGGATATGAGCAGTTTGTCAAGCGCAATCTGACTCTGCTCCCTCATCAGCAAGCAGCACCGCAGCAGGAAGAGCAGCCTCAGCAACTGGCTCAACCGCAGCAGGCTGACATAATGACGTCCATGTTTGAACAGCAGATCAAGAGCGAGCCCATGGGCTTTTACTCCGTTGCTTCCAGTCGTTCGGACGGATCCAACTCCATGGTAAATCTGTCTGACGATCGCGAGGATCTTTCGCAGCAGGAGAGTCACCTGCAGCCTCAACAGCAGACACTGCAGCTGAATCAGCAGCAAAGTCAGCAACAAGTTCAACAGCAAAATCAACAACCGACACAACAACAGAATCAGCAACAGCAGAGCCAAGGCATGCAACAACAGGAGGCACCCAGTCGTCAGTCTACGGGCCAACAGACCGTTAAAGAGGGTTCACGGTCCAAACCTCAACCTTGCAAGGTTTGCGGCAAGGTTTTGTCCTCGGCTTCGTCCTATTATGTGCATATGAAGCTTCATTCAGGAAACAAACCCTACCATTGTACAGTATGCGAGGCGAGTTTTTGCCGCAAACCTTATCTGGAAGTGCACATGAGGACGCACACGGGCGAGCGACCCTTCCAATGTGAGCTGTGTTTGAAAAGGTTTACTCAGAAGAGCAGTCTCAATACTCACAAACGAGTGCACACAGGGGAACGGCCGTACGCATGCGACATTTGTCAAAAACGTTTCGCCGTGAAAAGCTACGTTACGGCGCACCGTTGGAGCCACGTGGCTGAGAAGCCTCTGGTCTGCGACCGATGTTCTCTCACATTCACGTCCAAAAGTCAATTTGCGATTCACATCCGCAAGCATACCGCCAGTACCACTTACGAGTGCAATATCTGTGGACGTACGTTCGTACGCGACAGTTATCTGATAAGGCATCAGAATCGGGTACATCACAACATGAATCAGAGCAGCTCGAATCACAATCCTCCGACGCCGCAGAGTAGTGGCGCTGGCACGCCAGGTACCGAGTTTGAGAGTCCGGTCTGTGATCTGCGCTACAGCGAAGGACCATCGTCGTTGGACGGCCTCGCGGGAGCCAAGGGCACAGGCATTGCCGCGGAGATCGCCAGTTTAGCCAAGCAGAATAATCTACAACTTCCACTACCGCTGCTGCATCCGCAGACCACCAACTAGTGTTTAGACGGCAGCAACGCCATCCAGTCCTTGCCGCAGCACCAATCACCGCAGCAAGTAGTATGTCCCACCTCGGCGCCTTCGCCGTTCACACTTAATTCACCTATATCTCACACCGAGCACACGAGCACACCGCAGAGTGTCTACCAAACGACGGGCTCCTCCAATCCTATGGATAGCCCCAATTCCCAACTCTACCCGCACTTGTCGTCCCCTTTAGATCCGACGTCGGAATCGCAACATCATTCACATCAGTTGCATCGCGGCTTCCCCCCGCCAGGGCTTCATCCCACGCTTTATCTGTATGCTCAGTACTCGAATACGAATCCCACGATCTCGTATTCGGAATATATGCAGCGTAACAACTGAACGTGAAGTCTTCATCTAGCATCGATCGACTTTCAACGCGAACGAATTACCAGTGAAACTGGTGCTATTTAATCGCGTCGGTTGATCAAAGTGCCTACTGAGCATCCACTTCCGGATCGTAACAACGGATGCTCGCTCGTCACAGTTAGGAATTGCGATTTCGATTTCGGTCAAAGAGGGGTCACGACGATTCAGCTGATCAATTGTGAATTGATCGCTGCTCGATAAAATTCTTCGCTAATACTTTATGTCCATTTAATGGATTTTATACTCACGAGCATCTTTTAACACGAGATTGAATAGCACCCGCTTGAAGAGCGGTTTTTAATCGTCGAATGATGAGATCGTGCTGGCGCAAGGATACAACGTTCTAATGAATCGATAATGATTCGATTTACCCGTACGCGATGCTAGCTGAAACCGAAGCATGTAACGTTTCTACGAGTCTCCGCAGTTTCAGCACTCTTATTTCGTCTGATTTTAATCACGTCTCTGCGACATATACATATACATATATATATATATATATATATATATATATATATATATGTGTATATATGTGTGTATATATATTATGCGAACCATTACTGACACACGTACACATATTTATATTATATTTTTAAAGGAGTTTTTAGTCACTTGAATCTGTGATATAGATAGTAATTATTATCTACAATGATTAAACTATTGGTTTACTATTTTGATGAATATCAAAACGAGAAAAAAAAGGAAAAAAGCAATGTCACGGAGCGATGTAGTTATCAAAAATTTTACCGGATATTGGTCTCTACCGAAGGTGTTTGGTAGACACCCTACTATTAATTTTACAACAACAGTAAAACAACAACATCAAGAACACTATATATTGCTAATACTACTACTATTATTCCAACTAATACTACCACATCTATCACCACCACCGACATTTCCCCAATTATATATTACTATCACTACACTATTATTACGATTATTAATACTGTCATCACTATTACTCTGCTGCTACCACGTACTACTATTACTCCTAAAACTACTTACGATCATTAACGCTAAGACTACACACACAGAAACACGATATGTACGAGAGCGCGCGTTTATTTCGATTACGGTCCGTCACATAGTCGTCATGGTTTCTCTTTAGCTTGAAACGCTGCGAGAATTCCATCTTCTGTCGCTTTCTTGTTAGATGGTAGAACGTTTATTTTCTCGTTGACATTGACAGATATATTCGTCGCGATGAGGTGCGCGTTTGTGATAAAAATCGTTCTCTTCGTCAGCAGATCGCAGCTTTGAATCAGTTCCATAGTTGTACTTACTTTCCACATATCGAAGTGTACACAGATATATATTGTGTATATATGCATATATGTATATGTATATGTATGTATGGATATATATGTATGTATATGTACACATGTATGGATTTATGAAGCGAAAATGGTTGGATGGAGAAGGTAAAGAGGTTTTACGCGTAAGGAGCGCAATAGGTTGTTGATTTTTCGCAAACGCTGTTAGCTATTAGTTTATTATTATCTCTTGCTCATTAACGCCGCGAGCTTCGGTGCAAGCGCGAGGGAACCATGACACACAACCGCGCATAAAACTGGAAGTAGATTTCGCAATGCACATCTTATATGCGATTATCATTTTTCAATAATCGATCTAAACCAGTCGCTACCACTTGTAAACGCAACTTACCCATTAATTACGTGTATGCAAGATCGCGTTTTAGAGCTATGAAGGTACACAAATTGAACGAGAAGATTATATACATATATTTACGCTAGCGTGCCTCGAACCCTTTTATTGTGGTTCTTTCTTTCTCTCTTTTTCCTTCTCTCTCTTTCTCTCACTCTCTCTCTCTCTCTCTCTCTCTCTCTTTCAGCGATCTAATTTTTCACGTGAAATGATCAAAATAATTCTGCGCGCGTATGCCTGAGGCTTTCGATTTAAAAAGGATGCGAAGTCACCTGGGCAAGACTGATTTTTATTGTAACGGACTGTGAGATACGAAATGTTTAGTCTTTTTCTTCTTTTCTTTCTTTATATATTTTATTCTCTTTTTTTTTCCAATTTCTTTTTTCATTACGGAGACGTGTGTGAGCACATTGAGGAAAAGATAATGCGATAGTGTCTTTTATTGATAAAGAGAAGCCGCATGAAACGCATGTTCTTGAACGACGGAATGAGTTAAATAACCGGCAATTGATTAATATAATCTGTCGCTTCATTAATTGACATTGTTATTTAATTAAATGAGTGACCACATTAATTAAAGTTAAATAAGCAATTAATTAAGTTAATTACGCGTAAGAAGAATCGTGAACGCGTAATTTTTGGTTCACGATCGAGAAAACGAGGTGCAATGAGAGAAAGCAATTGATCTTTTTGTTGGCTAGTCATTGGGCAGCTCTACGAGATATTAATTGTACTACAAAGCTGTGATTAAAGCCTCCGTGCATATGACCGCGCAGCTCCTAATTATAGTGATATATATATTTTGTAGCTTGTTATAAATATAAGTAAAATAGATAGCCTTAGGAACACATCTACAAATTGTAGTTCCGGTCGATCAGTTAATTATTCTATTCGATCTCTCTTTTTTTCTTTTTCTTTTTTTTTTCTTTTGTTGTTTTAAGCGCATACTTTCGCAGTGTTGGGCAAAGGCACATATTTAGGTACTGTAGGTTATCGTTTGGGGAGGAGATAATTATGTGATTATTTAAAGAGAGTTTTATACAAGTGCGCGCGGGGCGCGAGTTTACGTTTTGTAAATTTTTATATAATCACTGTACTGTTTGAAATAGATGCTTGCTTTCAGGTGACTGCTCTTATTTTTCCGATACATTTTAAGCTGATTATCTGTCAGAGTTCAATAATCTGCGAATTGCCAATCAATGCACACAGTTTATTATGAATACTCAATTGCAGAACTATTTCATGCTATCTGAAAGTAGTCACGTAAAGATAATAATGTATGTATGTACATTTTTTAATCGAAAAAGTTTTAGTTTACTTACGTTCCTAAACGTTAAGACTGTATTTGCACAAAACGATGATTAGTTTTGAAATTTTACTAATCGAAGGAAAATTAATTTCGCGAATTAGAGGCTTTATTTGCTAAAGATAACAATTCTCGATATTTAGAATTGAATGTTGTAATTATATTTTTAAGTAAATATAATCAGTGAATTTCAATCAGGAACGGTGGTAGCCAGTACATTAACGTCCTGAAAATGTAGTGAGATTTTAGCTGTGTTATTCAATACTTATATAGTATACGAGCTATTTCAGACAGTATATCGCGTACGTATATATAGACTGTACGTATATGTTAGGATTGCCCAGCACTGATCTATCGAAACTTCCGAATCGGTAATAACGATCTCACATCGATAACACATGACCGCTTTTCCGCGGACGTATCTTCGAGTTCTGATATTCGTGGCATGTATATCAAAAAATGTGTATTTTCGTAAGAAGTAAGGAAGATAGTTCCTTTCTTCAAGAGAGCACTCGTCGGACCAATATATGTGTACATATAAGAAGTGATAAAAAAAAAAAGAGGAAGAAAAGATGTTTCGTGGCGCTTCTAAAGCGCAGTGCACGTCTGCAAGTGCTATAATACTTGTTACGAACGAATATTTGTTATACGTAGATACGCGAACGTGAGATGCACATTTCTCTTTATTCGTTTATCTTGTTTTTCTGTCTTTCTTAGTGCGTTCTGTATACAGACATTTCTACTTAATCGTCTAACTACCGGATAATTTCGATGATTTTTTTTGTTCTTATTTAGATAAAGAATGAAAGATCCTTATTATTTTCAAAATATTCAAAGTAATTTTTTTTTTGTTCTCTTAATGTAAGCAAAATTGATAAGTTATGAAATGAGGACGCATATTCGTATTACAGATTTTAATTGCGATGTGCTTAATCGAATTCATTGATGATTGATATCAAGAACTTGCTAATGTAATATTAACTTTGTTCTACTTTTTTCCTGCTCGTGACCAGACCTACATTGGTTTATTTTTATTCTACATCTGACGTCTTTCATAATGACAGATCACTGATTATTTCCGGTAGTTGGAGTATCGATTATTCTCGCAACAGAGACATTACATTGCTTCATGCTGATTCACTCTCCATTTCGCATTATAGTGCCAGAGAACAATTGATCCTACGTCAATCGTGGTTTGACATAAGATCGATTTTATCGTAGTAACGTTTGTACGAAAAATTCGACAAAAGGGTCGGTTACCCAAATCATCACATTGTTGAGGACGCGAGAAATTGATGATAGACTAATATCGCGAAATTTATCGCGCGAAAAAAATAAAAAAACGGACGAACCATGTCACGCGGACATGTAATCTCGAAATTTGTAACAGCAAATTGTACATAGTATAATCAGTAAGGGAATCAAAAGACGTGCTGCGTTAGGAGACACAAGTATAAGAGCCCCTATATAAAACAGTTCAGTTCAAAAGTTACCGTTTATATATTCCATTCTGGTTTTTATTTGCAGCATTACTGATTTCTCCGCAAACGATCAAGGCGAATAACTTTTTATTCAAATCATTATTCATTTATATAATTGAAATTTAAATGAGCATGGTAATGAATGCTAAAATGATTATTTTGTATTACCGGTTTGTGATACACGAGATTAATTTGCTGGATCTAAAGATTAATTACATTGTTGCTTAAACACTTGTACAACTATTATTTCCGATGAATGCGACCAATATTTATAACTGAAATCATTAGAAATACATACGGTTGGTCTTTTTAAAAAAAAATATTACAGGTTTCTTCAATAAATTTTTAATCATGTCGAAACTCGTTAACAACCACAAAATTATATGCCTTTTGTGCTTTACTATGAAATATAATTACATTAATGCAACCAAATGCAGCGATTGTATTCTGAATGAATATTTGGTTGATAAAACATTAACACACGCGTTAAAAGTATTTCTCAAATAATTTGATCTTGTGACACAAAAATATATTCGTCTTGAATAATTGTAATATATGAAAAGGTGTACATATATGAAAAGATATAAATTTGTAGTATTATGTAAGATACTCATTCTTCAAATGTTTACAAAGATTTAATTTGGTGCATATCTTTAACATGGCATGTAAAATGCGTTTATATCAAGTATTTCGACATTATATTTTGACGATGAGAATATTATTGCAATACATTTTACGTTTATAATATATATTATATATTATAAGTCTCTGTAAATTGATGCAATATTTAAAATATAATATTATATTAATATATTAATTAATATATTATTATATTAAAATATATAATATTTATATATAATACATTTGTAATATATAATATATATTGTATGAATATTATATACGCAATTGACTGTTCAAGTTTACGTTTGTGATTATTTTACATCGGTAATGGCGTTATTTCATTAAAATGTTTTATTTCAAATTAAGAGCACAAAGTTGATATTTATTTTTATATAAAAAAAAACATGAATAATGTAAATTTATATTTTCATTATCTCTAGCACATTAATAAAAAAAAATCTTATGATTATATATTAAATTTATTAATGTTTCGTTTCTAAGCAGCGATATTTTATGCAATAAGTTCCTTACATTATCTATCAACATTTTTTATAATTTTGCAGTGCGGAAGAAGTATGATATGATTGATATCTGTTTAATGATAATAAACGTGAACGATAAAATGTACACTTTATTTTCTCATTCGAGATATAAATGCTTTTTTTTGCCTGATCATTATAGTATTAGATTTTCGCAAATTTTTATTTATCTGAGCAACTTGTAGAGAAGTGAGTTTTCAAAAAATTAGTATAT